GAGGCGACCGACTTCGAGGCGGCCGTCAGTCGCGAGGAGCAGTAGTCGAGGTTGTCCTCGGGCAGCGGCTTCAGCTGGTGGCGCAGTGCGGCCATTCGGCAGTCGGACAGTTCGCTGTTCATCTGGCGGATCGTTTCGATGGCCGCCTCCAGTTCAATGCCGAAGCTGCACGCCTCGGAGGCCTTGGCGAGGGCGGCTCGCAAGTCTGCCAACGCCTCTGCCAGCTGCTGCGTNCTGTGAGGTGGCGCTGAGCAGGTTGGCCATCGCGGAGGCGACCGACTTCGAGGCGGCCGTCAGTCGCGAGGAGCAGTAGTCGAGGTTGTCCTCGGGCAGCGGCTTCAGCTGGTGGCGCAGTGCGGCCATTCGGCAGTCGGACAGTTCGCTGTTCATCTGGCGGATCGTCTCGATGGCCGCCTCCAGTTCGATGCCAAAGCTGCACGCCTCGGAGGCTTTGGCGAGGGCGGCTCGCAAGTCTGCCAACGCCTCTGCCAGCTGCTGCGTCGCCTGCGTCAGCTGAATGGAGGAGGACTTGTCGGCGATGGTAGGCACCGCCGAGCGAGAGACGCTGGCCAGCCGAACCGCCGGGTGGATAAAGTTCTCGCATGCGTGAATCAGCTGCGACTGCTTGCTGGGGTTGTTCGGCTCGCTCTGGCTGGCCTTCACGCCGCTGACCACCGTCTGAATGGCCGCTCCCACCTCACCGCACACCTGGTTCATCTCTCCCTGCAGGTGGGCGTTGTTGTGGTACGGGGCGGCGCCGTGCACTGCGGCAATGTTCTGCGTGGCCATGGCGGCGGCGTGCTTTGCACTCGCCTCCAATCGGTTCATCACCTTCCGCTTGAGGGCGTTGCTGGCGGCGGTGTTGGTCGCCGTGAGCAGCTCTCCGGCGGCGGCCTTCAGCGCCGCCTGCGAGGTTGAGTCGTGCGGATTGCTTGCGCAGCCCTTGGCCGCCTCCACCAGACGAGAGGTGGCGTCGGCGAGCGTCTTGGCGGCCGCCAGAAGGCGCTTCTGTATGCCCGAATCGGGCTGGCTCTCCGCCTCGCCCTTGATGTTCTGAATCAGCTGTGAGGTGGCCTGAGCGAGAATCTTCGCCTGTTTCACCATCTCCGAGGCGTCGCCGGCGCTGCTGAAGAGGCGGTCTGTGGCGTCGAGGATGGTGTCCACGGGGGCGGACTCCTCGTGCGGTCCTCGCCGGTTGTGGCCGTGGTGGCGACCGGCGCCCAGAGAGCGCACATGCGTCAGCAGGTTGTTCAGCGCCTGGTTCACGTCGCTGGCCGCTTCATTGACCTCTCCGTTCAGGTGGTGGTCATGGACGGAGTCCTGGCAGACGTGGACGATGCCGTCCACGGCTCGGCTGACCTCCTTTGCCGCGTCGACAATCTGCTTCTGACAGTTGGGACTGTGAATGGTGGGGGCGACCACCTTGGCACAGGACACCAGCTGTGAGGTGGCGAGGGCGCACTGGGTGGCGGCGCTGATCACCCGGTTCTTCGCCGACTGGTCGTCGCATTTGGAGGCAACTGCCTTTGCCTTGCGCACCAGCGTCGCCGTCGCATTGGCCACCGGCTTGGAGAGGCTGAGCAGCGTGTCGGAGGCCTCTCGGTCGACGTCCTCATCCTCCTCGAGGGTGTACAGCAGCGTCGAGGTGGCGTCGCTGACCTTGTTCGCCGCGTTGATGATGTTCTGCCGTGGCATACTGCCCGTCGGCTCTGCCGCCTTCAGCAGGTCGGAGAAGGCGTTGCAGAGGCTGCGGGCGGCGTCCACCAGGCGCTCACCGCGGTCGGCATCGTCCATCAGAGAGGCGATCACCTTCACATCGCGCGACATCTCCGGCAGATTGGTGGTGATGGTGTTGATGGCCGCCCCCAGCGCCGGGTGGTCCACCTCGTCCTCGGGCACCGAGGTGAGCGTGAGCACCTGCGCCGTGGCGGCGTTAAGCGCGGCCACCTGCGAGGCGACCGTCTCCTTCTTCACGTCCAGCTGGTTCTGGCGGTAGCCCATGTCTGGGCCGTACTCCTGACTGGGCGCTCGGGTGTCCAGCTCGCGCAGTGCATTCTGGACCGCGTCCTGCCCAGTTCCGATGGTGGTGCAGAGGGCGCGCTGTGGCTCCGACATGCCCGTCTGCAGGTACTTGGGGTGCTGGGCGGCCATGACCGGCGACTGCGTCAGGGGCGCCTGTGACTGCACCACGGGCATCTGCTTCTCCGGCGGCGGCACCTGATTGACGTTGAGAATCTGAACGCCAGTGCCGCCGGTGCGAATGACGCCCGGCAGGGCCACATCCTCGATGATCGGCTTGGAGGGCTTCGAGTCGGGCTGGTGCTGCATGATGGTCGCCTTGGAGGGCGACACGCTGTCCTCCATCATCGCCGAGCCCTCGTCGCCATCAATGCCAAAGTGGTCCTTGGCCTTCTTCCGCTTGAGGATGATGTCGATGTAGCCGGCGATGAGCTTCGAGATTTGCTCGCCCTCGGTGGTCTGCACCGAGTAGTAACTGTCGGAGTAGTCGCCAAAGTCGAGCGTGAAGCTGTTCGGCGTCGGCGCCCACCGCTTGACGGTGGTCAGCGACCAGGTCTTCAGGTTCTCCTTCGTCTTCTCGTCCAGTCGGAGGACGCTGTCTTTGGTGACGCCCAACAAACGGGGCACCAGTTTGTTCTTTCCCTGCATCTTCTCCTTCACGAGGAAAAAGGTGACGCCGTAGGTTTTCAGGGAACGCGCCAGGGTGACGTACTTCACCTTGGCGTCCACATTTGACGCGCCGACGTGCCTCATATGCTCCACAAAAATCTTCTTCTCGACGTTCTTCTGTCGAGCGTAGTCTTTGGGGAGAAAGTCCTTCAGCAGGAGCGCCTTCTGCTTCGTTTCGACGTGATCGCCGTACTCCACCTGACACTGGATGCCGGCAAACTTGCAGGCTTGGTCAAGTGTCACGGGGTGCGTTCCGTTGATGATCGCATCGCGCGTCTGCACGTACAGCAGATGCAGCTGCATCGGATCGCGCGAGTCGATGTTCTGGTCAGAGTAGAAAAACTTTCGCCGAAAGACGAGCGTCTCCTCCGAGGAGACCTCCTGCTCGTCGAGCGTCTTTGAGTGGTCGACCCAGTCGAGATCGTCGTCGGTCTTCAGCTTCCGCTTGATCTTCTCCATCTTCGGGTCCAGTGTCTTCTCCTTGTTTCGGCGCAGCGTCGAGGTGTTCCGCAGCGTGCCAGTGCCGCCGTTCAGCGTCGCCGTGCCGTCCATTTCGTCAAACTCGCGCACCAGAGAGTACTCCTCTGAGTTGGTGACACCTAAAGGAAACGCCCGAAACGGAAACGGTGGTCAGCTACCTGATCTCTACATTGTGATATAGAAGGAACCTACCGATACGCTCGCAAATGACGGGCATCAGCTTCTCCACTGGCAAACTCTGGTCGACCTTCACCGTCTTCACGCTGTTGTCCAGCAGTCGGATCCTCAGTGGTCGCATTTTGTTCTTAAACTCAACATCATCCTAAATGTGTATTTTCGTATAAGTCACGCTAATCTTTTAAAACAGTAGACTCAACCACGATTTCTTACCCCGTCTCGGAGAAGGTAGTACTGCAGCTCTCGTTCTGGATCGAGCCACTGTCCTACTTTGGCTCCTTTCTCGTCCTTGAACGAAAACAGCCCATAGTCGGACACTAAAAATACAAATAAAACATGTATTTTTTATTGAAACTGAAATAATACTGAGAAATGTTAACTTTGCAGTACGTACCCTTAATGGTGTCCAGATTAGCCTTTCGTTCATTGTGCTTGCTGTGAATCTCCTCAATTGCCTTCTTCACCGTAATGGCATCATCAAACTGCATCATCTTGTAGCCATCATGGCTATTGGGAAAGTGAATCTTGAGAGATATTTTAGGCATCTTGTGGCGCGGTGGTGTAGTCTAGGGTGACTGTCAGCTAGGGGGAAGGCGATAAAGTGGAAGTCATCGGTAGAAAAGTGTACACGATGATATGTGTCGAGTTGCTGGTGATGTGCTTCTACGAATTTGTCATTCCAGTAGAGCTCATTTGCTAGAGAGAAAGGAAGAGGAGCGGGGGAAAAAGAAAAGGCAATCAATTAATGCAAATCAAGTGGCAGACAAGTTAGTCAGCAATGAGCAGCAGCAGCAGGAAGAGCTGCACAGCTGCCCGGTTCGGGGCAGCATCAACATCAGCAGCACTAGTGAGCGTCATCGTTCCATTAGTGATCCAGAGAGGCAATCAGCCAGAAGAGCACTCAACAACATGACAGGAGACGACGATGGTCCGCTGGTGGTGGCGGCAGAGAACAAACACAGACACACAAAGACTGGGGATGCGGAGCGCGGCACGCGGCGGCGGCCACTGCGGCGAGGACAAAGTGAGCAGTCAGAGTCAGTCATTCACTTTTTCTCCCTCTTCCTCACACACACACTGTGCCCGGTCACTAAGTCAAATAAACTAGGCCCGTCAACTTGTCGACTGGCCTGTTTACAATCCATTTCGCACGCATCACTGTGCATTAGGGGAAATTACACACAAACGGCAAACGTATCCGACGCGACCAATTTGGCCCGACGATTGCAGTCATTTGCAGTGGGAGCATTAGCATTTGCTTGCTTTGGCTCAGTTCAACACCACCACCAACACCACCACCACCAGTTCCGACCCCATTGCCTGCCAACTTGCTATCTTAATTTAATTAGTAAACACACAGTCAGAATACTGCAATCAACGTTTCGTCGAGGCAGTGAATATTTGTAGCACTAACTAGAGCGACCAACGGACGAGCTTACGAAGTGATAGGCAAAAAGGGAAATCAAAGTAGCCATTAGCTGTCTGCTCCACTTTACTGCTCACTCACTGCACGGGTCATCTCTCATTTGAAAGCTGACGACAGGCGAAAATGGTTCACTGAATGTTCAGCACCGATCAGAACGTCAAAGTATTTGTAACGAATTGAGGGACATTTATTCTCATTCGAATCGCTTCAATTTTATAAATTCTAAAGCCACTCAGTCGTTGCTACTTTTTGACTACTGCCCAACTAGTAACCAATCAAACCATAGCCAGATTCAGCTGACCAGGCAGGCTTAATTGCAAGCGTAGCCAATTGATGGCAAGGCAAATCAGAAAACAGCCATACAAAAAGGGAACAAACTTTACGACACCAACAAAAGTCAGCAGAAATAAAATAAAAAAAAAGCCAGGAGGCAAACTTTACCCATTTTGGAGTGGCTGATGAGACATTGACGCTGAAGATCCATGGTGAAGCAAAGAAAGTGGTGGCAAAAGAATCACACAAGCAAAGAAAAAGAATTGNAATACAAAAAGGGAACAAACTTTACGACACAAACACAAGTCAGCAGAAATAAAATGAAAAAAAGCTAGGAGGCAAACTTTACCCATTTTGGAGTGGCTGATGAGACATTGACGCTGAAGATCCATGGTGTAGCAAAGAAAGTGGTGGCAAAAGAATCACACAAGCAAAGAAAAAGAATTGAACTGCTGAAATGGCACCAAAAGAAGAGACAAAGTGGACAAAGTGCAACCGAGTTTGACGACCGCCAGTGAGCAACTGCGTGAGTATGTGGCAGCTGCAGCCTTCAGTCTCCGGTCTTTCGAATGCAAATGTTCCAATTAGTGTCTGTGTGTGCGTTCCAAAAGCAGCGAGAACAGGATACCAAAGGCAGGCAACGTCTCCTTCTGCGGTAGGACGGTAATTGCGGGGCAGCCTCTCTGGACAGGGCCAAGACAGATATAGGCAGGCACCGAGCGTCCGGAGAGGACAATGGCGACACTGCCCGACTATATAGCAGAAGGGGACTGCAGCAAAAACTGCGGCGTCTTAAAACCCGACTGACTCCTGGTCTCTTGGCCCGAGTCATGCCGCACTGAACAGCGGGCACAGTAGCTGGTGGCTAAGGAGGGCGCGATGTCCTCGCGCCAGCGAATGCAATTGGAGCGGGCGGTCTTGGCCGAGCCTTCACTATAAGCAGAGAGAAAAGAAACCAAAGTCTGAAGTGATCGCCGTTCAGGGCACTGGTGATGGTGAACGTCCTGTGCTGGTCTGCTCTGGTCGGGTCGGGTCGGTCGGACGGACACGCCGAGCCTGGATCGATTCGGAAGTGGCAAGTGAAGCGTGCAGACTATAGTTTGTCGGGGAAGAGGAAAGCAGTGCCGCGGCCGCATCCCTTTATGCTTCGCTTGTCGGCACTGTCTTTCTTCCTCCATTCTCCATTCTTCTTGTCATCCTCTCTTTTTCTCTCCTTCCCTTTTTCCGTCTCCGTCCGTCTGAGAACGACTCCGAGAGTCGTCAAGCGAGCGGCCACTGGCAACCCGAGCGAAGCACATCAAAATTCAATCTAATGGACATTTCCTGGCTGCAACAAAAAGACTCGATCTAAGGAGAAAGCCAATGACAACATGATGACTAATAAAAACGTAATTCGAAAGCAGCAAGGAAGAGAAAGAGAGAAAGGAAACAGTGCTGGCAAAAGAGTCGGTTATATAAAGCGACCCATCAGCGGAACACAAGGCGGCCATAAAGGCAGAATGGAGAAATGAGCCAGTGCGAGAGACAATCGAGAGACAGGATAATAAATGATGGCGGCTGCAGCGAATCAGAAATTGATGATGCCACTTGCGGAAAGCATCAAGACAGAGGGGGACAGAGGCAGAGACCGAGTCTCGGAGAGAGAGAGTGCATCAGCTAGAATGAGAGACAACAGTAGAATTGCCAGAATCACCAGTCTTCACTGTCCTCAAGAACCAAGTCAGAGTTGCTGTTGATGGTAAAGAAAACTACAACTGCTGCTGCTGTTCACCACAGGCTGCAAGCGGCAAGACCAGCACCAAAACCACCAACAGCAGCACCGGCAGCCAATGACCGGAGAAGACAAAACACCCGAGCATCAGCAGAGAGCAGTGTAAATTGGACCATCTTAATTGCCTGGGCAAATTATCGTTTCACACTTGGCCGCACAAAGACAACTGCCTCTTGTGGCTCTGCTGATTGCGCCCACAAACACACAATGCTTGTGCAAGTTGTGACACTGCCTCTCTGTCTGTGCCTCAAAATGGATCATCTTGTCCAGTGCAGTCGTTTCCAAAGCAGAGAAAAGCATTTTAATTGCAAAGTTGGCAATCTACAAAATGAGCTGGCTCCCTTTCTCTCTCCCTTTCTTGCCCTCCCATAAAGTGGATGAGCAGATGTGGATCGGGAGTGGCAAGGCATTCGGGCGCAATGAGAATGGCGAGGGTAGGAATGGATGCAAATCGATGATATGCTTTGTCAGAAAGGCCAATTGAAGCCCAGTCAGTGTGCACACAAAGCTGCTGCTGAAACATCTCCACACACATCATGCACACCACAAATGGAACACATAAAGTCAAGTGAGATGTGCCTTGTCAAACGATCACAGAACGAGCTGTCGACGAGCAGCTACCAGCACCATCACCATCGCCTTCACTGCCACCAGCATCAACATGAGCATGGTGCAGAGAACCGAGAGAATGCTACAGTGCGATGTCAGTGGCCTTACAAGAGAGGGAAGAAAGTGCTGCTGCTGCAGTGACAGTCCACTTTGTTGCAGTCCACCAGACAGATAGATCGTCCTCGTGCACTCTCTCGCCCCCATTGAATCGGGCAATGTCTCCACTTCTTTGTGCCTCACTTGCCAATCAAACCGAGCGACAATCGAATCAATAAAGTGAAGAAAACGGCCATTTATTGGACAAGAGTGTGCTAGCAATCTCCAGAAAAATATGAATGACTGGCTGCAGGAGTGGAGTAAGGGTTTTTCGGGTACACGGCTAACACTGCCCCGAATGGCACTGACTGCACATCAGCTGCTAGCCCTGCTCTGCAACGGCCCACCACTGTTTGCCTCTGTTTCCAAATTCTCATTAGTGTAATTGAGCTGCTTGATAAATGGCGCCACTCATTTGTCTGGATGCGCCGATTTGTTATTATACGTTTTGTTTCATTCATATCGCACTGTCTTCCAATTGGCAATGAATTGTTCTTCTGCAGAGACTACTGCTCTTTTGAAACTCGAGGATGCCCCAACTTGTTTCAGCAGCAGCAGCAACATCCGCTGAAAATGGCAACTGCGACCAAATGAAGCTATAAAAGCAAACAATTGCAAAGCTGCGAGATGCCCAAGTGCTCTGGCACGCGTCTAAGGAGGCACTGCCGACTGCATTCTAAAGACTAAGGCAGACAGAGATGCTGGTAGTTCCTCGGAAGAGGACACGCGCTATTTAAGAGGAAAAAGAGAGAGAGAGAGAGAGGCTCTACTTTGCGGATTAACTCTGACAGGTGCAATCAGACAGGAACTGCAGAGCTGCTTGGCTCAATCGTCTGCAGGTGACACTTGTGTGAAATGGTCTGGCACCGAGAGAGAGGGAGAGGGAAATGGTTGTTGTGTGAAGTGTGACCACTGTAGCACACTGTGAGCCGAGTCAACAAGAGCAGAAGCGCAAATTCTTGGCCACCAGCTTGCAAGGCGAGAAGGGCATCAGAAGCAGAAGTTTGCCTCTCTTTCGTTGTTGAAGTCTCTCTTTGCCACAGTTTGTCCAAAGTGGAACGAAGCAACAGCAGCAGCAGCAGATGGGCGAAGGTGAAGACTGCTGCTGCTGCAGTAGGCTGTTGCTTGAAACCAGTGGCAGCAGTTCTGCTGAGGATGATGATGATGATGATGATGGCAACTGCAATGGCAACAGCGGCGACAAGTCACACCGAGAGAGAACAGACGCCTACACGTTCGTTGGGAGCATCTTGGTGGCATTGCAAATGTGACACCGCAACGAGAGCGCGGGGCACCACCGGTGGTGATATATTTAGGAGTACGGGCGGTGTGTATGTGGAGGGGGGCACACGGCAGCACACTGACAGACA